GCTCTTGAATGACTTGCCGGTGGTTGAGAAACCTGTACCGGGTATCCTTATGAACTGCGACAATCAAACTGTGATCACTAAAGTGAGCATCTCAAAGGATAACATGCAGTCGTCAAGACACGTTCAGAGAAGGTTAAAGTCTGCCAGAAAAATGAAAAACTCCGGAGTTATTGTATTGGATTATATCGAAACGTCTAAAAATCTGGCAGATCCTTTTACTAAGGGTCTATCACGTAATGTGATAGATAATGCATCGAGGGAGATGGGTATGAGACCCACAATATGAGTTGTTCACAGTGGTAACCTATTCTTTGTGATCGGAGATCCCGTGAATTAGATGCGGAAGACAAGTTGTTGGTCAACTGGGAGGAGAGTATCCTTACTATTAAAAATACCACTCCATGAATATGCAATACTCTCCTAATCTGCATGGCAGGTTGATGTATATCTTAATGTGTTCTAAGTGGCTCTTTGAAGCAGAGATGTTGTCATGCAGAACATCTTTTGAAGAACGCGCCTATATGAGTCTGATTGTTAAACGTCGCAATCTATGAGAGTAGGGTTCTCTCTAGTAAACTCATGAAAGGTCTCGGAGTATGACGCATAAGCTCCATCCGCGGGGAAGACCCACGGTAGCCACGTATCAGTCAAGGCTTTATGTGAAGCTAGATTCACAGAAAACTTGCAGTTCAAGGCCCAGTCCACTGTCCAAATTACTTACTAGTGTAGCATAGAGTTCTAGGGGGAAGTTCAACTTAACAGTCTCCACTGTAGTACCGGTATATAAAACAGTGTTTTGGAACCAAAGGCAAATTTTGTGTGCCTCTGGGATCTGGTGGGGGATTGCTGGAATTTAGTCTATTTTGGGACAGCCCAATAACTATTTCAGAAATTCCTAAATAAATCCTAGAGGCTCACTTAGCCCATTTGTGCAAGGCATGGGATACTACTAAAGTTTAGTCCCACATTGCTAGTTTAGTAAGAGTTGGACCTCCTTATAAGGGAGGTTCTTTCCTCACTTGTATGAGCATGAGAACAAGAGGGACATCCACGCGCGCTCCTCCTCCGCCTCCCGCCTCGCCACGCCTCGCCACGACGCGCTGCGCCACGCCGCGCCGCGGGAATGAGCCGAGCCGATGTCTAATTTTTGCCACGCACTACGGGTATACGAAAGGTCACTTGGGAGCTGAGAAGTTTTTGCGGTAGTGGATAATGAATACGAATTGCGCACCTCTTCGCGTGCTGCCTGTTCACTTCTTCTCCCTCCGTTGCTTAACCTCCCGCCGCACCCTGTTCGCGTCCCTCTCATGTGCCTATATAAGAGAGGTCGCTCCTCTCCAGAGAGATACATCAGAAGGTCCTCTTCCTCTCGCCACACAGTTCCTGAGCACTGCGCTGCTGCTACAATCTTCCCCATCCCGGCTTACGGCGTGCACCGCAGGTCGGGACAGTAGGCCTCCGAAACCACACCTTTTGAGTCCTGTACGGGAGAAGGGTGATAAGGTTTTTGGGGAGTGCTCCACGCGACTACTGACTTCTTCGTCACGGACGCCCCGGACTCCGACGACTACTTCCCCGACGACGACTTCTTCCCCGACGTTGACAACCTCATCAACGACATGGCTGGAGAGGATGTCGACCCCAAGTCCAGTGCTTCTGCTGCTGTTGTCCCGTACGTGTTCTTCCTTTTTCTATTAGAGGTCCTGCTACAGTTTCTTGTTCTAGTGTTTGCCCTAGATATGGTAGACTCTGCTTCATATATGAAACTTGTCCTATTGTCTGCTCTAGATAAACTTGGTTACAGTTCCTATATGCAGATGTTATTTAGCTTCTTTCTGTCAGATCACATGACTAGTTTTGTCACTGTGATATTAGTCATGCTTTATCTAATATCTCTGTTAATAAAATCATTTGGTAAATTGCTCATATTTCCAACAGGAAGGAGAGGCGATGTGCTGGTACGCGAATGGTGTGATTTGAAGAGATAGGAGAGACGAAGAGGAAAAGGTGTGGAGAAGATGTAAAAGCACCATGATGGGAATCAACACAACAACAGATTGCCTTTGTGTGCGTGAGCAGAGGAAAAGGCAAATCTTGATGCTCGAGGGGACGTACTGGTGCGCGCGGGGAATAAGACAGTAATTATAGCACCAATAGCTACAACGCTTAGAATGACTCACTCGGAAAACGGAGGGGAGTTGGGGGGAGGAAGATGGGACTGATAGTTCAAAAGAAACTGTGAACGAAATGCATCTGTGGGTGGAGATTCGCTGACTTGGTTGTATGGCTGCGCTGATGTGGATAGCTTCTTTATGTATATAGGATGATGTGGCACATCGCTGGTGTGGACAGTATGCATGGTGAAAAAATTGGGAATAGTGGGGAGCAATTTCTTAAGAATGGTAGATTCATAGTTCATAAGAATTAAGGAAGTTACCAAAAAAAAAGGAATCAAGCAAGCTGGGTCATTTCAACCCAACTATAAAATGCGTTGGCTTCTGCAATAGATATTTTCCTTGGCTAAACGGAATCGATCAAAGTTTAACAAGCACCTCAGTCACGCGCTCGGTAGTCCCATGTTGTGAATGGTGGCAGACCGTGTAAAGGACACTCAAGTAAAGTTGATGTGAAGTGAAGTGAAGTTGAAAGCTAGCCACTACGCTCTGAGCTGAGCCACACGGCTCACGAGTAAAACAGTAAGATTCCCACTAGGCTCAATGCTGCTTTTTTGCCCTGCAGCACATAATTTCGCCTCCAAGGAATAATATATGTACTACATAGAACTATTTGCAGGAGGAGACAAAGTGACGGCTACAATTTGAGCTTGCAACAAGAAAAGGGGAAAGAGAATGGAAATTGATTTTGGAGGCCGATCTACATGGAGGCCTCCAAATGCAAAATTCTAAATTCATGAAAATTCATATTTTTATATCTTAAAAATATTTTGAAAAAAATAAAGACATACATGAAGGCATAATGCACAAGTGTGTAAATTTTCAGGACGAAATGCGTTGAAATGAGGGCTGTGAAAAAAAAAGCAATTTTGAGTTTTTTTTGCATGGCTTTTTAACTGATGATACTATTCATCCATCCAGACCATGAGTTTCTATTTTTTGTACAGGTCACATTTCAATGTATTTCATCCTGAAATTTTACACAAATACACCTCACATCCTTGTTTACTTGTTGATATTTCAAACATGGTTAAACTGGTGCGTCCTCTTGTTTCTTTGAACTGCAACCAACATAGCGCTTTTGCAGGTTTCGTTTGAGATGACTTTTGTGGAGTCAGTTCAAGCATGCACCAAAACGATCAACCTTCAGGCTTTAGAACAGTGTAGGATGGCAAATCAATTCCAGCTCGTAATTAAGAATTAGGGAGTCAACCTTGCCTGAAGCATATTCGTTCAAGCTTATTTGCTTTGCTTTATATCCTATGCTCTACTTTTGCTTTGGGGACGCTTTTTCAGTGATGCAAATGGCAACCCCTCACGAGCATCCAGCTTTGTTAAAGGCTTAAAGATGATGCCTTTGCCTTCCATCTTGTCAATGGAGGATTGCTCTCTACGCTGGGCTGAACATGTACTCATTCTGCGTGTGCGGTGCTCAAGCATCTTTTCTTTTCGTCGCGTGCCTGTGTAGGCCTAGTACCAGTGTAGCTAAGCTGGTTTTCCAAATACTCCCTCCGTTCCAAAATAGATGACTCAACTTATACATGGTTGAGTCATCTATTTTGCAACGGAGGAAGTAATATTTAACGAGGCATCAAAATAGCTATATATACACGGTTGAGGGCAACCTGCAAGCTACACTGGCACGGCCTTGTGATCTAGCCCCCAATAACCAAATCCCACTTATCAGTTGAGAGCAGAACCGGCGGGATATGGGGGAGACGGTGCTGAGCATGGCGCGGTCCATGCTGAACGCCGCCATCAGCAAGGCTGCCTCTGCCGCCGCCGACGAAATGAGCCTCCTCATGGGTGTGAGGAAGGATATCTGGTATGTTGGAATTGACCTTATTTTGTTCAGGTCATAGACTTCCATATAGCCTCTCTTAAATGTATATTGC